CAAGCATATGGGATTGGCCATCTTCCTTGGCACAGATACGTAGATATAGTGGAATGGGTAAGTTTAATGAGGTATGTAGAGCTTTTTTGGACCGCAAAAGGCTCGTGGAATAGGTAGACCTGGACAAATGAAAATGGCCATCAAGTAAGTGGAGTCCATAGAATATATATGGAGTTTCCTGTTTTTGCAATGTAATATTCAAGCTTGTGCAACAAAAATTTGAATAATCCTTGTTTAAAGTGTTTTAATCATGAGTTCTAAAATAGGATGCATGAGACAACCAATGAGGTCATTGGTGAAAAATAATGTTATGATAATGATCACATGGGTGATAAGGAAATGCATGAACGTACACATACTGGTAATGCCTCAAACAAATTTGATGCAAGATTAATTGGTATTTTCTGCTAAAAAATAGTGATCATAAGTATTATTATAGGTATGTAGATAATATGAAATAGGATGTTTATTATAATAAACAGTCATAATCACATTATGCATATACTAATTGCATTGCATAATGTAATGACATAGTAAAGTGGGTGAAGGTTTGGGTGATTAAGTTATGGTAGATTTAAGATGTTGAATTACGGATCACAATAAGATACAAACAAAAATATTGTGCTTATTTTACAATAAACCATTTGTGTGTCAATATGAAATGGCAAAGTTGCAGTGGAGTTGATTTATGTTCATCTTAATCATATTTTGTAGTGGAAGTTGCTTTGAGAGATAAGACAAAGAGGAGATTAGAATAAAATATAGGAGAGAGGGTCCTTGGTTGAGAGAAAATAAGAAAGGAAGAAGAGAGGAGGAAACTTGGAGGAAAACTAAGAAGAGAATTTGAGCAACACATGGACGAATGAAAGACTCGAGCTGATTGTGGAGAAGCTTTATAGGCACGTAAATCCTTTGATAATGATTTAATGGAGGATGGTGTTTAGCATGCTAAAATAGAGGGAAAGTCAATCTTGACAAAGAAATTAATTATAGATCTTGACAAGATTCCCAAGGAATGGCATGAAAACCAAGGCAAATGAAGATCATAGGTGGAAACTAGAGAGAATTTTCAGGACTTACATAGCATGATCATAATGAACCAATTCAACTCTGATACCATAATTCAAACAAGAGATGGAAGAATATCAAACAATAAAGAAAACCAGTTATAAGAAAAAAGATAAAAACATAAACCAAGGGATGGAAGAATACCAAACAATATTGCTTCAACATTCTATCAAAATGTTACATAAGTAAATAATGCGAGGCTTAAACTTTTATAAAGACATTCAAGCCATCAAAACGAGCATGCCCATGACTTGATAAAAATAACTACCATGAAATAAACATGACACAAAATAAGTACGAAATACAATAACATGTCAGAATATGCAATATGCAAACTCTGCCTAAGCGTCGATAATCATGCTGTGCCATGCATCAAAGAGTGCAGTGACAACGGAAATCTAGATCAAGTTGAACAAAGCGCTATAACCCTCTGTTTCACTCCCAACCCATATAAAATAATATTGAACTTGAGAAAAGAAATTCAACAGAGGTTACGCAAAAAAGTTTACCCCATCACGTTGACACGGAGATGAACGCTGAGTTCGGTCAGTAGATCATAGAGCTGACCAAGGTCGGCGGCATTGCCGTGAGAATATAGAAGAGTGAGCACGGCCGAGGGGTTGTTCACGTACATGGCGATGATGTGGTTCCCCCTTCTCGTGCGCAGCCGGTGGACCGCAACGTTGGCCCTATTTGGTACCCCAGTCATTGTCAGCCGCCCCGCATCCACATCCTCCACCACCACGCCATATGACGGCGGGATCGGTGGGAAGAAGGCGAACTTAGCCGCCATCGCCGAAGTGACGCCCCCCATCTTCTTCACGACACCCTTCTCAGATCAAGATTAGGAGGCGAAGGCAACGTTGAAATCTCCTTTTCCACATATAATCCCATCAAGGGAAGCGGCGCCCGGTAATGAACTAGGTTTCAATGCTCCCAATGACGAGGAGGTGGAAGGAGGGGAAGGGGGAGAGTGCGGGAGAAG